ATAAAATGGCTAATCGAGAACCAATTGACTGGGATTCGATGTGTAGAGCTATGAAACGAATCAAGCTAATTACACAGCTTATGGAGCCGAAAACCGTTGAAGCATACCTGAGAATCAGGGAGTTGATGGCTAGACCCCTTGAAAGTTTTGGCGACTATAAAGATGAGGAATCCGACTCACTCGGCAAGTCAAAAGCAAACAACTTGTGTTAGATGCTTCAACGTGAAGAAGAATGTTCGGAGTATATGGACCCGATCAACGAAGAAGCTGAAAGGAAAATTAACGAGTTGTGGGCTAGGCCTCTTGAAAGTTTTGATATTGATGAATAATTTTGTAATTGTTTGTTTGCTTATTATGATAAATGAATAATGTTTCGTTAGTTGATTGTAACAAAAAAAATTGTGCGTTTCGTACTTATCTTTTAATAATGATGAAGAAAAAAATCAAATATTGTTGGACTAATATAATGATGAAGAAAAGAGCACAAATATTCGAACTCAAAAAATTGTAATTTCAACAACACAATTAGTCACTATCAGAATCGTTATTTTCTACATATACAACATCTTCTTCGGTATCAGAACCGTCTATCCATTCTCCTTCTTCCTTATATCGAGCATTTTGTTGTTCTTCATGCATTTCAACAATTCCGCGCTCAGATGAAGTTGTTAGGTCCGGAAGGTGCGTTTCTGGCATGACTTCAACATTTCCCCCATTTGGATCACTTAATTGAATGTGATGGTTGACCGTCTTAACAATCGGCGGAGGTTGGAAAAAATGTTGCTGAAAAGCATCTAAATCAACGTCCTTGTGTTGAGTTTGTGATACAATTTTGCTCGGACAGACAATACATGCACACACCCAAGGATTCTGTGTCCGCCTGGTTGAAGGGTATTCTGCATAATAAATCTGGGCTGCTTGTTGAGCGAGTATAAAAGGCTCATTTTTCCTATACACGCGAGAGTGGTTGACGTCAATCATATTATACTTTGAATTTTTTCTCAAACCATGTGTTGGATCGACCCATTTGCAGCGGAACAAAACGCATGTCAACTTTTTCCCAGCAGAAGGCATTTCCAATTCGAGAATCTCATGCAAGACACCAAAAAATTGGTTTTCGAGTTATCATAACCGATGGTTGGGACACATAACCCGCTGTTCACTGTTGGTCGGCCCTGTCCGTAATCGACTGTGTGATAGGTGTAATCGTTTATCACATATGACCGCCAAACTTTGGCGTAGACACCAGGGCCCCACGATAATGATACTAACAAAGGGTCCACAATCCCACGATTATTGATCTATAAATTAAAACACGATAACATTGGATAATTATTAAAAATTATTACTTAATAATATATATAATTAATGTGTGTGTATACCATTGCATCAATTTCATTGTCAAGGAATGCTTAGTACTCCGCTCTAAATTCACTGTGAAGTCAAAACTGAAAATATTATAAATCAACTACCTTAATTGTATATATATTACAAATATAACTACAAATTTAACTTACTGATAAAACGGTAAGATTTCTGGACAATTAATGAGCATATAAGTATGCACAATTTGTGATTCTTTTCGCACGATGTATCGGTTTATCACAGCTCCTTTACCTCTACCTGGGTAATTGAAAATGGAAACTACATTTTCGTATAAATCCTCACCAATGTCATCGTTCCGGGCAGTTCTCTTTCTTATAGTGATGACTTCACGCTCAAAATAAAAAGATGAGAACGTTGAGATTTCTTGTTGAAGATACGCTTGACAAATTGAAGCCTCAACGTGTGCCTTGTTGGTCACTTTCTTTTTCAACTCTCCAAGAAATCTGCAATGTAAAATAAAAGTGGTACACAGATTAATGTTGTTATGAAATAAATATTCAAAGATAAATCAAATTGTGACTAACCTTTCAAATCTGTACATCCAGCGATAGAAGACAGGTCCACCATTCAAAGCCTCATACGGAAGATGTATTACAAGATGTTCCATTCAATCGAAAAATGATGGAGGCATTATCTTTTCCAATTTACACATCAGCATGGGAACATACTCTTCTAGTCTCCGGAGGGATGCTGCATCCAAAACGCTTGTGCATATCGACTGGAACAACAAACTGATCTCAGTAATGCAGGACCATACGTGTTCATGAAGCATCTCTTTCAGTGCAATTGGGTGAAGTCTTTGCATGATTACATGAGCATCGTGAGTTTTCATGCTCGACGTCGTTGCAAGTTTGTCCATCTCCACGCATCTGGACAAGTTGGAGCAGTAGCCATCTGGAAACTTCAGAGACACAAGCCATTGTAATATTGATTCCTTTTGTGCTTCTGTGACTTGGTAGACTGCTTTTGGAATATTGTTACCCTGATATTCTAGATCAACAGAAAGTTCGGGTCTGTCACACCAAATAGTCATATCTTTTCGAGATGCTAGACCGTCTTTAGTTTTGCCTTTGAAATCCATCATTGTGTTAAATATATTGTCAAACACGTTCTTCTCAGTGTGCATGACATCTATATTGTGACGAATGAGAAAGTCTTTCCAATATGGTAACTACCAAAATATACTCCTCTTTGTCCACTTATGGGTATCAAAAAACTCATATGGCTTCTTATTTGGTTCTTTCACAACCATAGGAATACGTCGAACTCGGTTAAAAATTGCTTCCCCGGTCAATCTCGGGGGCGGGGTGTCTCATATCACTCTACCTCTAATGAAAGACTTTTTGTCCTTTCGATATCGGTGGTTTTCCGGGAGAAACTTGCGGTGACAATCAAAGTAGCTTGGTTTTTTACTGAAAGTTAGCCAATTGGCACCTGATTTCTCCATGCATATCGGACATCCCATAAGACCGTTAGATGGTTGTAGGGGGTTGAACTGAGACATCGATGCACCATATGCGTCATATATCATATGTTGCTCCCATCTCATTTCAGCAGGGTCTCCCCACACACTCATCTCTGCAGGGACGTTACGAGACGAACCTACCGTTTGTGGTAAAACAGATGGATTCAAAGGTTCGCCATGAGAAGTCCAATTATAATAATTGGGAACGAAACTGTCCGCGTACAAATCCCACCCAACTTCGTCTGGGTGTTTAAATTTGAGATTTTTACACTTTGAACATGGACATCTGATTTTATAACCACTCATATAAGCCGGATGTTCAAGTGCGAATTTAATAAACTCCTCAACTCCTTCAAGAAAATTTGATTGCATTCCGTACAATACCACATGTTTATCATACATCCAAATTCTACTTTGTCTATACATTATGCCTGAATATTATAATAAAAAAATTATATAGGTTAAAAACTCTAAATTATAAACATTACCAACATATGTGGAGTATTATTAATATATTAAATTTCACTAATTAAAGTTCAATCCAATTAATTCACTAGATGAACTAATATGTTCATAATAATATCATTAATCATTTCAATTATTAACTAATAACCAATATTATAATTTTAACACTAAATACACTAAATTATTACATTAATGGCATTAATTAATTCATAAACATTAACAATAATTTGTTATGTGTACGAACATTTATATATTAAATTTCACTAAAATTCCCTTAAAATTAACTAACGTCCAATTAATATTATTAAACTATAAACATGCACAATACGTTAATGGCATTTAATCCACAATACTAAAATTATCAACATCTCAATCTTATTAATAATGCACATTTAACAATTCACTAAATTAAATAATATGAGCAAATCCAATATTTTGAGCATATATATAAACTCATTTAAATTAAAAAATACTTAAATTTAACTAATATTATAAAAAATTTAACTAATTTACGTAATTCACAATCATAATTCATCATACTTAAGTAATGTTTCAATTAACTAACCCTAATTTAAATCATTATAAATCCTAAAGTAGGCATTAACAATAATTGCTAATAAAGAAATCATATAATTATATTTAAACATATAAAACTCATTTGAATTAAATAATACTTACATTTAACTAATATCATCTATAATTTAACTAATTTACGTAATTTTAATTAAATACAACTTAATTAACCCTATGTTTAAATTACACCCGAGTTTAACTAATTTTAAGGAATTTATTTTGTTAATTAATTAACAACCTTTTTAATGCATTTTATTTAAATTTAACTAATATTAACAAAAGTTTAATTAATTTGGCTAATTAATTAATTTAACTTAATGCATCACTACGATTAAACCTACGTTTAAGTAACTATTTTTTCACTAAATTAAATGAAATTGACATATATATAATTCGTTACTTAATTAGTAATATCTCTAATTTATTAACAGTTTATTACATTTAAAATGAACCAACTAATTCATAAAAAAAATACGTAATTCAAATTACATACCTTATCTGCATAAATAGGGAAAATGATATAAGATGACTAGATTACATCCTTCAATTCTATCTGGAATTCTATCTGGAATAGCTTGTGAGGTTTTGTTGAATGAATCTATGCATATATAAAACATTTAGTCACGGACTTAGTCACGGATGTGTCCGTGACTAAGTAATTTCGTACGATTTATCGGTACACTTTAACTTTGGAGCGTTGAAAAAATTAATTTTGGATCTTGTCACGGAATTATCCGTGACTAAGTTTAGTCATGGCATTAGTCACGGATTCGTCCGTGACTAATTTCAAATTTAAAAAAAAAACCCACTGGAGGCAAAATTGGGTTGGCCGGAAAAGGTTAGTTACAGATATAATTCGTGACTAGCTCGTGACTAAAACCGTGACTAACTAGTCACGGACCAAATCCGTGACTAGCGTCCGTGACTACAAGCGATTTTTTTTTGTAGTGATTCTTACTTTATCAAATCAATATCAACCACATAATTTTTTTTTAATTTGCGTGTCACTCCTTTTTGTCCCATTGTTAGCGGGACGGAGGGAGTAATATTTATCGAAAAAAAAGAAAAATTTCAAGTGTACACAATGGACGGGGTGTCGGCTGCACCAACCGCCGTTCCCTATAAATGTGTGGAAGGAAATGATAGTAAGGGCGGAAAAAGAATCAGAACAAAAGAAAATGGCAAATAACGCTGGCGAGGAAAAAGAAGAGAAGCTGCATGAAGTTCCCCTTCTCACTCCTTATAAAATGGGAAATTTTCAACTAGCTCACAGGTGACAACCTTTGCTTTCAGTCCCTTCTTTTTTTTGTAGAAAATTTCTAATCATTTTAGCGAACGCCTTGATGATCAGATGCATTCTGCAGTAAACGTTGACAGAAATTGAAGAATTTGTTCATGAAAATGCTTCATCCAGAACTGTTTTGGCATTTAGGTGACCAAAACGGAACTAAATTGAATAATATAGCCAACTCATCTCAGAAATATAAACAGGTGTAGGTGTTGTTAATGAGCCTGTTAACAGGAGTAAAAGTGAGATAGATTGATTTCTCCAGCTATATCATAGCTAATGGCCCTTCTTTATGAAACATCATCCCTTTATTTTTCTAGATTCAACAGTTTTAAGGGTTTAATGCACAAAATTGCTGTAATTCAAAAAATGCATCAACGACCTATTGTTTAGCATGTTGTTACTTGGATTGTTTTGAGTTCCAGACCAGACTTAAGCAGATCAAATCAGATCAGCTCAGATCAAATTTAAACAGATCGGACCAGACCCAACTTAAACATCCATAATTATGAAATACACAGAGACAAAACGTTTATCGGACCATACTAGACTTAAACAAACCAGACCAAACCAGACCATCTTCAACAGACCAAACTAGACCAGACCAAACCAGACCATACTTAAACAGACCAGATCAGTCCAAGTAAAAACATCCTAAATCCCGGAAGGAACAAATTTTAGAAATTACCCTGAGTAGGAGTAAAAACGTTTTGAAATTCAAAATTAAAACTTTCATGTTTTTATTTCCCAAATAGGAGTAATTTCTGTCACGTTTGAAAAAAAATTGGCAGAAACTACCATATTCAAAGTTTGATTATAGCAAACTTGAAAGAAATTACTCCAATTTAGAGAATAAAAACATGACAATCCTATTTTGGAATTTCAAAACTTTTTCGCTCCTATTTAAGGAATTTTCCCAACAAATTTAGGTATCTTCACAAATTAATCACAAATTTAGGTGTATGGTTAAGTAGCACTAAAGAGTAAAGATACTCTTAATTAGACTGTTTTGAGTCCCAAATAACACCAGATCAAACATAAACACAGAAGACCAGATTTACACAACAGTAAAATTCACATAAAACAAACATTTGCTAGACCAGATCAATATAAGATTAGATCAGACACACCAGGAAATTTCAGTCCAAATAAAAACATTCTAACACACTATGATACCCAGACGATTAAATTTGTTGTTTCAGGGACATGATTAATTATAACACAATATGGTTTGAAGCATATTTTAAATCTGAATATGCTAATGCCCATAATTTATACTACGTATATGACGAGGGATTTGAGTTTGACGCATTGAACACGTATTATAGTTCTAAGCAATTGAATCTTGTTTCATACAGAGTTGTTTTGGCACCCCTTACAAGGCAGCGATCTTTCAAAAACGTCCCTCAGCCTCATGCTATTTTGTATTACGCCCAGAGAACCACAAAAGGGGGTCTTCTAATTGCAGAAGCAACTGGAGTTTCTAACACTGCCCAAGGGTAATTTTTTAAGTTACTGTTTTTAACTCCGATATCACATGTAGATTCATGTTAACCGACCCCAAACTCTTGAGCAGCTTTTTTAAAACTACCTACACATATGGTCATTCATTTAAGCACAAATGGGCAGATATCCGGATACACCTGGTATATGGACAAAGGAGCAGGTTGAGGCCTGGAAGCCCATTGTAGATGCAGTACATGCTAAAGGAGGAATCTTTTTTTGCCAGATTTGGCACGTCGGCAGAGTTTCAAATAAAGGTATTCTTGGCTTCTTGGTTTAAAGTTTAAACTAAGCATCAATGAAGATCATGTGATCTTAAAATGCTACATGCTTTATTTATGGCGTTTTAGTTGTATGAACCGGGGCTATTGAAGTATGGGGTTTCACAGATTAGTACTTGAGTTAATTCGAACTCTAAAAGTTCAACCTGAATAGAGCAGTCCAATGCTTTATCAATTTCTTCACCCATTGAATAGTAAGCTACTACTTTTATTGATATGACTTCAACTTTACAACTTCATAATTTATAAAGACTTTTACAGTGATCAAGCCTGGTAGGAATTGGAAACCTAAACTTTAAACTTAATAGGAATAGGGAACTGCAATACTACTAAAGCTTTGATACTTATATTACTATTTTTGAGGTCATAATGTTATGAGCTCAAAAGTAAAAAAAGGTATAGTTCTATGCTAGATTTTGAATTGTTGGGATGCCTAACTGAGTATTGGGTGGGACCCGGGGAGTGGGGTTGGGGGCTCTTTCATCATTGTTAGTTATCTCACTTCCATTTAAGATAGATAGATGGGGCTATAAGGTGTTTGATTAGGTGTTAGACTAACTTGTGGCTTAGAATCATTTTTAGTGTGATTTGATCCATGTGCACTATGATCAAGTTGATTGGCCTCAACTAATAATAAATTGCATCTGTTTCACTAGATCATCAGCTTGATTTGAGCCCATGATCTAATTATCAAATGAAGGAATATGTTACGAAATTCGCTATTCAATTTTCTCTCGTCATTTGCGCAGATCATTTTCTTCTGTATCCTACCCTTTTCACTTCATTTATCTTATTAGTTTTCTACAGATTTTCAGCCAAATGGACAGCAGCCTATCTCCAGCACAGACAAAGCATTAACTCCCCAAGTCCGTTCCAATGGCATAGATGTTGCTCAGTTTACACCTCCACGTCGATTAAGGACCGATGAAATCCATCAGATCATCAATGATTTCAGGCTCGCTGCGAGAAATGCTATTGAAGCTGGTATTTATTTTTTTTTTTATGGGGGGGGAGGGGGTCTATAATTTTATTATAGAATTATTTGAAGGGACACAAAACACGACATGGTGTTTCATGCATAAAACACCCAAATATCTTATCTATATTCTAATAAGCTCACTGTATTTATATAGGCTTCGATGGAGTGGAGATCCACGGGGCCCATGGTTATCTAATAGACCAGTTTCTGAAAGACCAAGCCAACGATCGAACCGACCAATACGGAGGCTCACTTGAGAACAGATGCAGATTCGCTCTTGAAATAGTTGAAGCGGTTTCCAATGAGATCGGAGCAGACAAGGTTGGAATAAGGCTCTCCCCCTTTGCTAACTATATGGAATGTGGCGATTCCAACCCAAACGCTTTGGGACTTTACATGGCTGAATCATTAAATAAGTATGGCATTCTTTACTGCCATATGGTTGAGCCAAGAATGAAAACCGTCGGGGTTAAGTGCGAGTCCCCACACAGTCTTTTGCCGATGAGAGCGGCTTTCAAAGGAACTTTTTTGGTGGCTGGTGGCTATGGTAGGGAAGATGGGAACAAAGCCATTGCTGAAAACAATGCGGATCTTGTGGTTTATGGCCGCCTGTTTCTGGCTAATCCGGATTTGCCAAAGAGGTTTGAGATCAATGCTCCTCTGAATGAGTATAACAGAGAAACGTTCTATATCTCTGACCCGGTTGTTGGGTATACAGACTATCCGTTTCTGGAAACCACACCTTTGTAATAATGTTTGGTATCATCCATAGCTCAACTGTACAATATAATCTCTGCATATCTTCTTTTCTCCCTCAATAATAAGACTGTGACATTGTGTTGACACAAACCCATGGATGATAATTGTTTTCACGAACCCGGCTAGGGGTGGATGATAACAGAGGAACGCTTTTATCAGAATATTTTTGCTTCGCACTTCGGTCAATTGGCAATAATTTTTTTGTGGACTTCTGGGAATCTATTTCATGTAGCTTGGCAAGGAAATTTCGAGTCGTGGATACAAGACCCTTTACATGTACGACCTATTGCTATTTGGGATCCTCATTTTGGTCAACCGGCCTTGGAAGCTTTTACTAGAGGGGTACCCTTGGCCCGGACATGAACAGTTTGGGGTAAGGGTAATGGGGAACTGGAACCTTGATGTTGTTATGGAAAGAATTGCAACGGCAATGTATTTAGTTCATTATTTGATCTCTGTAAACATATATGGTATGAAATTATGAATGATATGTTGCACGGATAATTTATTTTAAACAAGATGTATTTTATTGGTTCACAATATTATATTGTTCAAATAAAAAGTAGTGTTTGCAAAATGCGAACGGTTGCACTTTTTACTCAATGGATGCACTATTCCATGTTTCTATTACACTTTTTACAGTGACAAAAAAGTTTGATTTATTTATAAAATTGCCACAACGTTTTTATCAAATATAGTGCATTGCTGACTTATTTTGTGTATTAGATCTGGAATTGAACGCACAAGATTTATTCTCACTATGATTTATATTCTCAAAAAAAATGTCTCTTTATATAATTATATTCGAACTTATATAGGTATGAATCGTGTTCAACATCTATTTTCAGAAGGCAAATCATTGAACCTTAAATTTGAAAGTTTTAAGCACACGTTTGTCCCCATGTTAGAGTTGTTTAACACCAGCACAAAAATAGTCCAATCTGGTGATCCCCTTATACGGATTATCATTGTGAGTAGGGATGGACTCGGGCCGGGTGGCCCGACCCGGAACCGGCCCGGGACCGGTACTGTTCCGGCCCGGCCCGACCCGGTGGCCCGGTCAGTGACCGGTCCGGGTAGGCCCGGCCCGTGGGTTTTCCGGTCCGGACTCGGGTCACCCAAAACAAGGCCCGACCCGGCCGGGTCCGGGCCCGGTTCGGGCCAAAAACTATTTTTTTTTCTTTTTTTTCAATTTTTTTTAAATTTTCGGGTTGGGCTGGGTATTTTGGGCCATTTGGGGTGGATTAGGAAGAGGAAAACAAAAAAAAAATATAACGGGCCCGGCCCGGACCCGGACCGGACCCAGTGGTTACCCGGGCCAGTCCCGGGTCCACCATTTCTGACCCGCCGGCCCGCCCGGGCCTAGGCCCGGCCCGGACCCGAGTCCATCCCTAATTGTGAGCAAGAGATTATTTGAGAAGATTATTGAAAATTGAAAATCTATTATCATGATTCAAATCCAAATTATTTTAAATTGTAGTTAAATTACATTTAATGAATGTCCTAGAGAAACTAATTAGGATGTTTTAGTTAGATTGAAATTTGTTGGTCTGGTCTAGTCTTATTTGATCTGGTCTAATCTGAACTGGTCTGATAAATGTTTGCTCTTTTTGTATTTTATAACTATCCAAGTCTGATTTGGGACTGAAAATAGTTCAAGTAAAAACATCTTTATTTGAGTATCATTGTTGATTAAAAAAGTTTTAAACATTGAGATAAGTTAAAATTTATTAAATAAATATGATGTGGCAACAATGTCTAATAGAAAAATCATTATTTAAATAGCATGAATGGAGATGATGGAATGGAACCAGTTCCGGATCCGGTCACATTTGCTTCATTTTCCATAAATTAGACAAAAAACTGAAATCCTAAACGGTTAAACTCAAGCACATTTACAAATAACTATGTACTTTTAGACCCATGCCTGAACTGAACCAAATGCATCCCTAATCGAACAAAAATCTAAACATCTATAATCCCATTATTCAGCCTATGATCCAACTGTTAATTGTCAAATCCTTTATTGCTCACCATGCACAACCGGTAAGTCATCCATGGATAATGGTATTAGCATCATCATAATCAAATAAATTAGTACCGGTTAACTTTCTTAACAATTTTGTCAAAATAAAAACTTTCGTAACACTAAACTTCGAGCCCATTACTTGTACAAAACCCAAATTATGTTAGCGAATTTGCAGCCTTCGTGTGAACAATTGCAGCCATTAATCTTGATAGCATCATTTCATTTCCCAGGATGAATGAAGAGAATAAGCACATGTTGAAGTTATGAAACTGAGCAACCTATTCACAAACCGAGGGAAGCCAGGTATAATCCACATAGACAATGTATATAAGATTTAGAAGATGAAGATGGAATGCAGTCGTTAAATTTAGCAAGCGCTAAAAATCACCAATAAACAAAAATTGCAAAATATAATGCACACTAATTCATAATCAAACAGTAGTTACAGATATTATGGAGCTTCTTCAACGAACTTTACGGACTCTTTCTTCCTGTCCCAATCCTAAAGACTTTTGTGCATCTGCTATTCCTTCAGGATCTGACCATATGGAAATCTAATTTCAAACTAGCTGTGATAATGACCATGAAAATAATGGCAACAATAATGGTAAACCAAATCAAATTAAGGAAAAAGAAAAACATTAGTGTTCCACATATTAAGAGCTTCATCAATGTCTTATGTCTCAAGCTTTCTACCAAACACTAATTTACTTAGCAGTGGTCAATTAGTTAATACTCCCTCAGTCCCTCCGTTCCCTAAATTTGTCCCGTTTTACCTTTTTCGTCTATCCTATTAAGTTTGCCCCATACCATATTTGGTAATATTTGTGTGGTTACAATTCATTATTACTTTATTCACACTTTATCAACACAAGCAAGTAAATAATAATAAATGAGCTGAAACTCACCAAAGAATTGTGTAAAGATACGGGTGAAGAAGCTCAAGTTACGAGAAACATTATATTGCATTGACATAGGAAGAGGTTTGACAATGGTGTCAATGCTGAAAACATGCTGAAGAAACTGCATAAAACAAAATGTCACTCATTTAGTTAATCAGATCACCAGTCTCGGTTTCACAATCCAACACAATTGTCAACTAGATAAGGGATACAAATATCAAAACTTTCATTGATATCCACAATGCTATACACATGCAAGACAAAGAAACCTTTCACGCCCTCCAATTTTGATTAAATAGCTTTCGAGACTATATTAATAAAAGATTTTGAATAATACTGGATTCACTTTCACATGTTGAAGAGACTGTTAGAGTGATAGGCTTTGAGGCTCAAAGCTGCAAATTTAAGGGCTGTTTGATTAGGACTACTGAGGTCCAAGGGGCGAGGAGAGAAATGAATTTGGATTTACTAATTTATCACTATTTGTTAGCTTTAGACTAAAAATTATTACTCCGTATATGATAAGTTAAATGATGTATTCCCATATGGTTTTTTAGCTTCATTATATTCTTCATCCATCTAGTGTAGAAGTAAAAACACGGTGTTCAGAAACTGAAGATTGAGGGAATGAGGTTACAAAAAAGAAAAACATATTTATGAAATCATTTTTTTAAAGTGTATAGTGTGCATACAACCTAAATCCCTAAACATTACTACCTCCAAACCATTAAGATTGGAACAAGAGGTTGTGGCACAATTATTAAGAAAAGTAGAATTATGCCTTTGACATTTTGGATTGTAAAGTATAAATAAAGTAAGAATGAATTAGAACCATACAACTATACCAAATATAGTATGAGATAAACTTAGTGGGGCAGATGAGAAAGGAAAGATGGGACAAAGATATTAGGATGGAGGGAGTATCTCTTATAAAAATGACATAATGGAATGTTTATTTGCTCAGTCTCAAAAAATGAGTCCAGTTTGAGAAAGGTATTTTCATTTTTTAGTAACTCAATCAAGGTAAAAGCTTTTACAATTTATGAATGGTGACCATTTACAAATCCCCAAAACCAGCTATAAGATTATTTTTGAGTATTTGACTAAAATAGCTTAACACTTAGCTTTGCTAGAATTTACACTCACCTGTTTTCCCTCCAAAATTTCCATTATAATTTCCTCTCTGTTTATTTACCAAACATTTTCCCAGCTCCGAATGGTCCCTCAAAGTTACAACTCCTATGAGGAGAGCATAATTTTGCTTCAACAGATGAAGATACATAAATTCAATCACTTTGAGTTCAGTGACACTAAAATCTCATCCCAAAATATCATTTTAAACGAAACATTGCCAAAATGGAAGACAAAAAGACGCCAACATTTTAACCAAATTCAAGTTGGTCACGTACAGGAAGAAAAAGTCCAACCTTTTCAGCACATAACATACACATATAAACGAGAACACTGAAAGAGCTAGAGGAGACCTTGAAGTTTCTCTGGAAACTGTAGCGTAGCTCAGGATCGATTTCAATTAGAGAATCGTCTTCGAGATCACTGGCTTTGGATTCAACGGATTTCATCGCAGGGACATGCATAGTTGGGGTTGAACCTGGTTCTCTCGTAACCTTCAGAGAGGCATCCTTGAACTTTTCGTCTTCTTCAGATCCCACCCTCCATGGGGCCGACTTAAGAAGCTCCTTCTTCCCTTTCGCCATCTCCAAAGCTTCAATCCACAGAGAAACAGAGACGAGAAGACGGGAGATTACGCTCGGTACAAGGGTCCAGAATAAATTAATGGATTGGGCTGCAATTTTTTTGGTAAACTATTGGGCCGCAAATTAAAGCTTGTTTGATATTTCAAATTCAATCAAAAGTTTCTAAAATTCCAAGTGTACTACTCAATACTCATCAGTCATTACAGGAATAGATGTGAGATGTCCCAAACCAACATAAAATTGTACCATGGATTATAGAGATCCAAACATATATAATTAGGAGAGATTTGAGCTAATAGATGTGGAGAAGAAGATGAATAGTAGAAAGTGTGTAAGTTATGTTCTAGGGTTACGAGAGACTCCAAGAGAAGTATAAATAGGAAAATTCGGGTCTGGGCCTCTAATATGGTCCCAACAGACTCGGTCACATAAATGGACTAATAATATATAAGACTAATCTAGTGGATACAAATTGAACTGTACAATAATACAAGTAACATCTGTGAGGCGTGTGTGACCGCTGTTCAGACCTAATAGTGTTAAGACCTGGAGGTCCGAATCTATATACTCTATCATTGTCTATCTCTATGTAAATTATATTAGCATTTGTACATTACGTGTACACAAAAAAAATAACATTTCTAAAAGCACTACAAGTTAATAACTACATAAAAAGATCTATTCAGATTTCTTTTGTTATTGATAACTAAATCCAAGTTATTGAAGCAATTTTACATTTTTTTGGAAATTTGCTCTGCTTGATTTTCTGTTTATCAAGAATCTCATTTAATCTCCGTCAGATTACTTTGCAATGTTAAAAGATACACTTCAAATAAAAAATTGAATCTAGATTGAATTGAAGATCAAATTAGATACCCCGGTAAGCCATATAATAGAAGATCAAACTAAAATCAGAGTCCGTTTGGTAACACTAAAATTGGTTGAATTGGCTGATTTTGCTGAAATTTATAAAGTTCTGACTGAATTGGCTGTATTGGCTTATTCTGTTGATTCATGAAAAAATTATATTTAAAATATTTGTGATGGAGTATATGGCCCGGGAACCCCCGGCCCACAGACTCCCACTACTCCAGTAAAGGCCCAATAGGCCCAGAAGGCCCAACAGGCCCAAATCATGGCGCCCGGAGTACCAAGCAGCCCACAGCGCACCAGGGGTGCCTTCGACCCCCTGGCCGAAGGCTCTAAACTCTCACAGAACGGGTTTCTCAAGCAAACTAAGAAACTGGGAGAAAACGGCGAGAACAGTAGCCCTCGGCACCAGGAGCCCTCGGCACCAGGGGCCCTCGGTTTGAGGAGCCCTCGGCTACTGCTCTATAGCCGAAGGCACCTCACTCGACAAGATCTCCTCTTCACGCGCGTACAGATCACCGTACCCTATGCAACGTCCCATCCAACAGCCGCATTAAATACGGCCACATGCGTTTGCCAGCGCCAACCGGATGAGGTGACCTCTCGGCCAATGGATGCTTGGCACGTGTCCCTGTCCGGCATTTATTGCTACTATAAATAACCCCCCCTTTTCCCCGTTGTAAACCACGACATTCATGCTGAATACGCTCTCTCTCTTACTTACTTGTGCTCTGACTTCTCTCTAAGTTATTCTCAGCAATAACCCCTCGGATAAGTTACCCTCCGGGTGCACTATCCATCATTTGGTGCTCTCGTTGAGAGGTCGAACAATCAAGTAAGAAACTCTCCCCCTTCGCCAAACACTAGCCCTCTACCAAAATGGTGAGAACAACACGTGCCAACTCCAAAAACGTAGAAGACAAGAACTTGGCCCTCGGCGACGTCAACGCCCCCGAAGCCTCTCACAGGGCTCCCGAGGGCGGTGTCATCGCTGGGCTGGAACAGGCGGCTGTCGACCTACGCCTTCAGATCCAACAGAATGCCCCCGATGCCCGCCTCGGCATCGAGGCCAAGAAGAAAAACCGGAGCGATGACCAAGTCAGCCCTCCGGTTCTCACCATCGACGTGCAATCGGCGCTCTCCGCCTTCATCCAAACGCTCACTCAGAACCCGGGTGCCTTCGGCACCCTGGCTCCGGCTCAACCCCAGGTTGGGGAGAACATCATACTTCCCCCTCTGCCACACCCCTTCGGAAACCCCACCCCTCGGGTTAGGAACGACGAAGGGGTAGTGGCCCAAGATACGTCCTCCTAGGAAGTTCAATCCCGGGACCGCCACAATGACAACAGAGAAAGGCCCCGCACTTCCGCCCTCAACCGGCTCGGAGGAGGGCCAGACCGCCGAGGGGTCCAAGACCGCCTCGGAGGGAAAGCACTCCAGAGGCCCCAGGAAAGCGGAGGGTCTGTCTCGAGGGCAGACGAGGAGCGTCCCCCTCGGGACAAAGGCAAGGCATCCCTTCATGCCGACGATGCTCGCCACCAAATCAATCAGGCCCACTCGGCCCGGGTTCGTTCGCAGGGGGCGGAGACCCTCCCGAAGGATCCCCGGGACGAAATTATTGCGGCCCTCCAACGCCGGCTTGATGAAATGGAGGCCAACAAAGCTCACGCCACCACCTCCACCCCTCATTCAGATCTCAAATACGAGGCCATGATGGCCAAGATGGAGGAATTACAGAAGAAGGTGGCCGAAGGCTCCGGGGAGCCCGTCATCCAGCTCCGGACCCGGACGCCATTTACCCCAAGGGTACTGGCGGCCCGAATCCTGGAAAAATACCGAGGGCAACACATACAGCTCTACAACGGGAAGACGGACCCCCAGGAACACTACAGCAAATACCAGAACAGCATGATGATGGTAGGGGCCTCAGACGAATATTTGTGTCGTTGGTTCCTCTCCACCTTAGAAGGGCCGGCATATGAATGGTTCAACAGGCTCCCCGAGGGCTGCATTGATTCGTGGCAAGAACTCGCCCAGCGATTCTTGACACAATTTGTCGGGAGGCGTCGCACAAGGAAGCACTTCTCCCACCTCCTAACCATACGCCAGAACAGGGATGAGACCCTTCGGGACTTCCTGGAGCGCTGGAGGACGGAAGCCGACAAAGTCGACGGTGCTGATGACGGGACCCTCCTAGCCCTCCTACAAACCGTCCTCCGCACCGGCAACTTTTCAAGGAGCCTCATCATTGACCCCCCCCCCCCCCCCCCGCGACTACATAAGGGCTTTGCAGCGGGGGGACCGATATGCTGAGGCCGAGGAGGTGGAGAAATATCACCAGCATCCGGATCAGCAGCCTCCGAGGGCTGACAACAAAAACAACCGAGGGCCGGGGGCTCCTCCAAATCACCCCAAATCTTCAGGACCCTCTATTGACCGCCCTCGGCAAGGCCAAGCCAAGCCCGGGGGAGGCTATAAGAGCATCCCTAAGACTTGGGCACAGCCCATTCTCCTGGACCGCCCTCGGACACCGTTGACGCACCCCGTCAGCATCATCCTTGATTTTGCCGAGGAGAGGGGCCTCGTTGAGCACGATTCTCGCGCGCCCCCGTAGGTACATGCTATCAACCCTCAGTTCCCCTACTGTCGTTTCCATCGGCACCAGGGGCACAGAACCGATGACTGCCATCAGCTAAAGACGGCCATCGAGAGATTAATACAAGCGGGGCACCTGTCCCAATTTGTTCAAAGCCCTCGGCAGGAGGGACCTTCTCATCAGGGACCTCCCCGAGGGCACCATACGAAGGTAAACGCCTGGGTAAACCCGAACACTATCCCCCTCGGCAAGAAGAGGGAGATCGGAAACTTAGAAGAAGAAGAGGAGGAGTACCCCCACTACCAGGAGAAAAAACGCCACATCCTCATGATCACCGGTGGCAATACAGGGGGCGATTCCACCAGCCAGCGAAAGAAGTGGGCTCAATCGCTTTACGTGGGGGAAGTCACTCATATGCCCCCGGTAAAGCGACTGAGGGAGGAACCCATCACCTTCACCAACGCAGATCTCCCTCCTACTTCTTCTCCTCACAGGGATGCCTTGGTGATTCGGACTGAAATAAACGACACCATCATTCACCGAACTTACATTGACACGGGCAGCTCCGTCAATGTAATGTACCTCAGCACCTTCAGAGAGCTGCATCTGGAGAGGGGGTCTCTTCGGCCCATTAAGACCCCTCTTGCCTGCTTCACCGGCGATACTATTGATTCTAAGGGGGTAATAACCCTCCCGGTGATCTTCGGCGACGGGCTCCAAGGGGGCAAATTCTTGGGCTACATGGTGAGCCGAAGGGGTATTGAGGCCAATCCCGAGAAAATCCAGGCCATCATCGACATGGAACCCCCACGCAATGTGAAGGAAGTTCAACGGTTGACGGGCCGCCTGGCAGCCCTCAACCGCTTTCTATCTAAATCAGCGGAGAAGTCTTTACCCTTCTTCCAAATCATGAGGAAGACGGCTGGTTTTCAATGGACTTCAGAATGCCAGGAGGCTTTCGACGAGCTCAAATGATATCTATCTTCACCTCCTGTGCTCTCCAAACCCAAGGTAGGGGAGACCCTCTACCTCTACCTTGGGGTCAGCTCGGCGGCCATCAGGTCTGTGCTCATCCGGGAGGAAGACGGCATCCAACATGCCATCTTCTACGTTAGCAAGACCCTAAGGGAGGCCGAGCTCAGGTACTCCCCTGTGGAAAAAACGGTGTTAGCCATCGTTTGGACTGTCAAGAAGTTGGGCCACTACTTTCAAGCTCACCCGGTTCAGGTCCTCACTCATCATCCCCTCGGCGCCCTCATGAGGAGTCCCACCAGCTCCTCCCGCATGGTGAAATGGGCTATCTTCTTGAGCCAGTACAACATTGACATCCGTCCGAGGCCTGCCATCAAGGGCCAAGCCCTGACGGACTTCGTGACGGAGTGTACCGCAAGGGCAGCCACGGACGGGGAGCCCTCGGCTACCTCGGACGACTGGTGGACCCTCTACACCGACGGCTCCTCCGCGACCAAAGCATGCGGGGGAGGGGTAGTCCTCATTACTCCCGAGGGCTTCATAGCCTACTATGCGATCCGCTTCTCCTTCAAAGTCTCCAACAACGAGGCCGAATATGAGGCCCTCCTATGTGGCCTTCGGCTGGCTGCCAACATGAGGGCTCGGCAGATCCACATCAAGTGCGACTCCAAATTGGTCGTTGGCCAAATCTCCGAGGAATATGAGACCAAGGAGGGAAGAATGAAACAGTACAAGGAAGCGGCCAAGGAGTTGCTTAAGGTATTTGAGGCACACTCTCTCACTCAAATACCGAGGGCTCAGAACTCCGAGGCCGACATATTATCTAAGCTCTCGGCCGACTCCCCCGAGCACATCTCCAAAATTGCCAAAATTGAGGAACTCAGCCTCTCAAGTATCCATGCGAGCCCCGTTATGAACATACAACAACGCCAAGAGGATTGGATCTCAGATATCACCGCCTTCATCTCCACAGGGCAGCTACCCGAGAATGAGACCCGCGCTAAACTGGTAAAGCTGAGAGCTCCTAGCTACACCATCGAAGATGAAAGGCTCTACAAACGATCTTACAATGGCACGCTACTTCGGTGCCTTCATCAAGATGAAGCCGAGGTCGCAATGGAGGAAGTGCACAGTGGCACTTGCTCAGCTCACCAGGGACCCTTCTCCATGTCCCGAAGGCTCATTCTCCAGGGCTACTTCTGGCCAACCATGGCCAGAGATTGTGCTGACCTTGCCAGGAGGTGCGCCGCATGTCAACATTTCCAGAAAGCCCCCGGCAGGCCAGCGGTCAACTATGCCCCCATCAGCACATCTGTCCCTTTTTCTCGATGGGGGATAGACCTTGTAGGCCCTCTGCCGAGGGGTACCTTCAACAACAAATATATCATTGTGGCCATCGACTACTTTACCAAGTGGGTGGAGGCTGAACCCCTCGCCAGCATCACAGAGGCAAAATGCCGCCACTTCGTCCTCAAGAACATCCTCACAAGGTTTGGCGTCCCCCAGCAGATCATCTCCGACAATGGGACACAATTTGAGGCAGCCCCCTTCTGTGCCCTTCTGGAGGCATGGGGCATCAAACACACCTTCTCCTCCGTTGCCTACCCTCAAGGTAACGGGCAGGTAGAGAATGCCAACCGGACCTTGCTCGAGGGCCTCAAAAAGAAGCTGGAGGCCGAGGGCGATGGCTGGGTGGAAGAACTCCACAACATCCTTTGGGCCTACCGCACCACCCCTCGACGAGCTACAGGTGAAACACCCTTCTCCCTCTGCTACGGTTTTGAAGCCAAAGCTCCTACGTAAGTCACCCTTCCCACCCGGAGGGTGATCCAATATGACCCCGAGGTCAACGACAGCAACATGGCCCTCGACCTCCACTTCCTTTCAGAACGCCGGGAGCAAGCCTTCATCCGGGCAGAAAACTACCGAAGGCAAGTCAAAGGCTACATCGACGCCAAAGTTCGCACCCGAGAATTTCAAGTGGGGGACTATGTCCTCCGGAGGAGGGAAGCCAGCCAACCAACCGAGGGAGGAAAAATGGCACCAAAATTCGAAGGCCCCTACATCATAGCAGCCATCATCAAACCTGGGACTTACAAGCTCAAACGCCCCAACGGGAAAGAGGTCCCTAGGCACTGGAATGTACACCATTTAGTTAAATTTTACCAATAATGTAAGAGCGGCCAAGCCCTCATAACTAATGAATGTACTATCCTATGGCCCAAGGCCTCCACTTTTGAGGAATGAAGACACATTCAAGACACCAAGCCCTCATACTGACTACAGGCCCCAGGCCTCACTACGAGAAGAACCCCCTCCGGCACCAAGTGCCGAGGGCGGACACCATCAACACCTACAACAAACAGGAAAACACCATGTGTTTTCGAACAAGACCCCTCAGTACCAAGTACCGAGGGTGGGAACTCCCATCACCGACAACAAGAAACACCAAGTGTTTCTTTCCCTTCGGCACGCAGTGCCGGGGATATGCTCTCCTATCAACTTCCAAACATCTGTTGGGAAACACCATGTGTTTCCTCCGAGGGCCCTCCGGCACCAAACGCCGAGAGCGAACACTCCGATCAAAACCCCAAGTGTTTCATTTGAAGACCCTTCGGTACCAAGTACCGAGGGTAGGCACCTCCATCAACTGCAACAAAAGAAAACACCAAGTGTTCCTGCAGAAGACCCCTCGGTACCAAGTACCGGGGGGCTACATATCGAAACTAACACCAAGTGTTGTTTCTAAAAGCCGTACCCCACGAGGACGCATATACCGAAGGCGCCACCATCGGTGCCGGCGGCACATAGTGCCCCCGGCCATTTGCAACTAGTGTGCAAATGAAAACCCTTCCTTGAAACGCTTTCCGCGTCACTACCCCCAGGGTATGACAGGCATGAGAAATGCCCAGGATTCGACTTTCAAAAACGGAACGCTATCCGCGTCATCACCCCAAGGGTATGACAGACACGAGAAATGCCCAAGATTCGACTTCCAAACCGAAACGCTCCCCGCGCCACCACCCCAAGGGTGTGGCAGGCCACGGACTATGTCTAGCGCCGAGGGGACGACTTTCAAAAATGAGGCGCTTTCCGCGCCATCCCCCAAAGGGAGGCAGGTTACAGACCATCATATCTTGTGCCCAGGAAACGACCCTCGATCCCCTCGGAACTCGGTAGGTTAACCCGAGGGAGGAGAGCCATTGGTGTATTCTGATGGTCTCCTTATAGGCCCAGCCTTACCAAGAAACCAAGTTTCTTGATGCCTTCCCTTCACCACCAACTAAAAAAAAAGAAGAAAAAAAGAGGGGGTGAAGGGGAGTAGACTCAGCGAGAAATCAAAGAGTACACTCCAACAGATCACAACATGCCGAGGGCTCCCCACGAGAACACCTCCGGTAGTTGAAGGCTCCTATTTCCCGAAGGATACTACTCAAACAAATATCATCAAGAAACGGCTAAGTCCACTGCTTGGTCACCTCCGGTCACACAAATACCGAGGGCATTTGTTACGCACTAATACCGAGGGCCCCTACCCCATTACAAGGGACACAACTGGCTAAGTCAGACTCTACAACTTTTCAAAGTGTATGCCGAGGGCACACACTCCTCATTGGCTTTCTTCACAACAACAGGATCCCACACTTTTCCTAAGTCCACACTTTTGGAAAATGACAGCAACTGGAGGTTAATATGTCACCAGATAACCGAAGGCATCTGTTACAAATCATCAAAAGCCAACCGAGGGGGACTATTCCAAAATATTTGTCCCTCGGACAGACTCCTCACTGACCGAAGGTTCAACATCTACGACACACTGTGAAATTTTGCTAAGTTCCACATATTTGGCCCTCGGTCAAATACTCATACAACACAAAGGCCCCACGATCACCCGAAGGGTCCTATTCATATACCCGGAGGGCTCTACATCCGGAAGCTCAACATCACTTTACGCTTAAAAAATATTCTAAGTCCTAAATGAGTAGCCCCCGGGCACCTCGCAAAGTGATGCAGAGTCGGAGGGCACCTATCACCCGAAGGCGACACAAGGAAGCGGCACTTAAAAATCTCCGATATTGGCCCCCGACCTAATCAACATTTCAGTTGGGGCTCCACAGTAGCCGAAGGCTACATGACATACTACACTTGTAAAAGTTTTCTAAGTCCTGTACATTGGGCCCTCGGTCCAATATTCACACATCAGGAAGGAGGCTACCAGCCGAGGGCATCCCAGGGCAAAACTACACCTAGAAATTTTTCTAAGTCCTAAGGATTGGGTTCTCAACCTAATCACCACACAGCAATGGAACTACAAACAACCGAAGGCCCTTTGGTGTGTTACACTTAGAAAAATTTTCTAAGTCCTAATTATTGCTGAACCCTCGGTTGTATATCCAGCAGAGGGTGCCTAACTACCGAAGGCTTCCAAGGGCAAGCTACAATCAGAAAATATTCTAAGTCCTAAAACATACATTCAAAGGAGCAAAGGCATACATCCAAAACGAGACGAAGGCATACATTCAAGAAGAAATGAATTAAGGAAAGCAAGCCATATATACAAAGCCCGAAGGCAATCATTCAATCATCACAAAAAGGAGTCAATGTAACCGTTACAAACAGGCCGAAGCCGAAGGATTAATGGTGTTCATTACAACAGGAGTTTCAAATATTTACTAAGTACAGGTTACGAATCAACAACGGCATTCCCGGAGGCGTCCTCTACTGCAGGCTTTGACGCAGCATCATCCCCAATTTCCTCCTCTTCGTCACTGCCCTCGGCCATCAGCAGGGAATCTTCCAAATCAGGCCTAGCAACACCTTCAGGGAGGGGAACCCGAGGGTCTGGCTGAAGGGGAGGGAGACCATAGGATGCCGGATCAAAGGCCTTCGGGTCCACCCCAAAATGCCGGGACAGCCTTCGATATACAAGGGCCTGAGTAAAGTACTCACCCCCGTCATAATACTATTTCCCCTTTCGGGCCAACCACATTGCGCCTGGGCCTTTCACCCATTCGTTCACCGAAGCTTCCACCACCGAAGCCACCCATTCCTGCCGGCCTTCGGCTTTCCATCCCTCCTCAGCAAAAGCAGCAACAGCATCCTCCCGGGCTTCGGCGACAGCTTTGATCCGGGCCTCCTCGGCATCCTCCGCGGCTTTCTTGGCAGCATCGGCCGCAGCCTTCTCCGCCTCTGCTTTGCCTTCGGCTCTGGCCACCGTCTTGGAGCCCTCGAGGATTTCTTTGAAGGCCTCTTGCTCAGCTTTGCGAGCGTCCTCGGTCTCTTTGAGCTGCCTTCGGGCCTCAGCCAGTGCTTCAGCGGCTTTCTTCTTCTCCGGGTCATACTGCTCTATCCTCTGGACCAGCTCGCCAAGGCCAAGGCTCGCCTGAAAGCAGACATGAATTACCGGAGGTTTAGCCACTACACATGTAAAGAATGAAGTTATCTACAAAAGAGAGGGAAGGAACCTTACCGTAACCGAGGCCATCAGAACCTTAGAGCAGAGGACATCGTCGGCCTGACGGGAGAGCACAGACTTATCGGTCGGAGGGGTGGCACCCCTCAAAAACTCCTTCGGGTTCAGGGTCCCGTGCATGATAGCAGTCCCCTTCGTGATGGAGAATTGGACCTTGTCCAGGGGCCATGTCAGATCAGTGGCTTTGCCCGAAGGCTTGGGAGGAGAAGATTCGTCTACGACCACAACGGGGGCTTCCTTCGACTCCGGGGCCCCCTTCTTCTTCTTCTTCCCCTCCGGTTGTGCCGGGTCCTTCCCAAGCCTTTTCCTCTTCGGCTCCAGACCGGGGGAGCCACCGACGGCGGCCTCCGAGACGGGCCCCACCTCCTTGGCCTCTTCGTCCGCTCCCGCCTTGGGGAAGATCTCATCGACCGCCCTCTGCTGTCCGGGGGCCTCCTTCTTCTGCTCCTCCCTGGCAAGTTGCCTCTTCAGCTTGACTAGGTTCCGAGCGTCCATGTCTGGTCCTGAAACACAAGAAGGCACACAAGGGTTAGTTCACTACTACAACAAAGCGAAAAAAAAAGGGGAAGAAATTTTTCTAAGTATGAGAATTGAAGCCCTCGGCATTACAACAACCTTCGGCACTCTCATATACGCGATCAATCATGGGGTAGCCTTCCTCCTTCTCCCCCATCAGCCAGTACCGACGGAAGCCGAGCTTGTACAACTCACTGGAGAGCGTTGCGCCTTTGATGGACACATGCTTATCGGAACCCTCCGGCTTCTTGGACAACACCCGCCCATTTGTTTCGAGGGCATACCCTTCTGCCTTCAGGTGCCGCCGAAACCTATCACCAAGCGGGGCGGAGAAGGGGTTCTCGGCCAACCGGATATAGCAGAACTTGTCTTTCCACCCCTTGTGAGACAAGGGCGCCTCATCAAAAATCCTGAACTTCGGGAGCTGCTGCAAATTACCATAGCCCCCGGCATTCGAATGCCCCCCTCCCCCCCCCCCCCCCCCCCGGCATAAGTTGAACTACAGGAAGAATTGCTCCAGAGTAGGGGGACCCTTCGGCTGAGGCACAGTGACAGGAACCCTGCCAGATATGAGTGATTGTTCGGGGTCAACTGGCAGGGGGCTAGCTTGACAAAGCGTAGATATTCCAACACGAAGGGATGAAGGGGAAATCTGAGACCCAGCTCCACCGAAAGCAGATGTACGGCAAAACAGCCGTCGGGGGCACGAAGGAGCACATCATCCGGCTTTGGCTCTACCACTTGCGCCGAAGGCCCTACCAAAAATTGTACCGCCATCATTTCCCCTCGGGTAGCTTTATTCTTGACCTCCAAGGCGGCCGTATTCAGGAAAGAATAGCCCTCGGGCAGTCCCACTGGCTGGCCAGCGTCGACGACAGCTTGCTTCTTCTTCGGAGCCGTCCTCGCCTTCTTTCTCTTCTGCCCTGGGGCCACACTGAGGGGTACTACTTCTATAGGCCGGGAGCTCCCAGCTTCAGTATCACACCGAGGGGGAGGGATAGCTACAGTCACCTTCAGGCCCTCCTTCTGGGCCTCGTCCTCGGCCACTTGACAGGCGATAGCAAGCTCCTCATCCGCGTTCACCTGCTCGAAGTCTTCGGCCTCGAGCTCAAGCCGAAGGTCACCCTGTATCGCCTCGGCTACGGCCCTATCATCGATGACTGAGAGCTGCTCGCTCGAGGATTCCACGTCAGACGGCACTTCAACGTTCACTGAAGCCTCCCCGGAGATGTCTTGGGAATCACTAGCTGACGACATTACTTCTAAAAGGCGAGGGGTCGGGAAACTCGTACAAAGGGGGGGGGGGGGTTCCTGAAGGGTCCTAAAGACTAACCCTGAGGCCAAAAGCTAAATACTCAAATGGAGCTAAGGGCGGAAGGAGAACTGACCTCTGAAAGTTGCTGTGATCGAGGGTGATTTTCTCTCTCTAGAAAATTTGGCAGAGCTTCGCTAACGATATCGGACGCACAAGGAGAATGGTCTGGCCATGGGGTATTTATAGACTCCAGAGTCCGGGTTTGGGCCCAAAAACTGGGCCTCCGGCCAAGCGTCATCATTACACACCGTCGTTTCACCCAACTGGTGACGCCCGCCCACGAGCAGCCAACGGCTACACTCCACGTGTACCCCCCCCCAACGGCTATAAACCTGACGTTACATATTCCAACGGCTATATTCTGGAAGCCCCCGGGTTTTCTACTTCACTCCACTTCATCAAGGAAAGCCTCCGGGTACACTTACCCAGAGACGCCCCCGGGCTGTGCCCCACACAGCACATAATAGATGCCTTCGGGATCACTCCTTCAGAAACCCAAGGCTTCATATCAGGGCACCCCTCGGGGATTCCACCTCAGCACTGTAAGAACCGGGGTAGCCCCCGGGGAGTTGCCTCATTGACGGATAGCCTACGGCACACAGGTAATGGGAACCCCCGGGTATCCCCATCGCCAACTAACCAGCAAGCAGGGATCCCCCCCCCCCCCCCCCCCCGCGGCAATTCAATCACTGCCCTCATCCACCATGCCCTCGATCCCCAGATTGAGGGGCTCCCCTTCGGCACCCCCAGGACATCAACAACAAGCCTTCGGCTAATCAACACAGGAGCCCTCAGAAGAGAGAGCCTTCGGCATTACCGTTATTCTCCATTTTGACCAAGGTTTCACATTTTCGATTCATCGTTGGGGGAATTCGGTGCACTCTTTTTCCCTCATTAGGATTTTTTCCCACAGGGTTTTTCCTAATGAGGTTTTTAACGAGGCATCCCCCCAAAATGAAACGAAAAGCGTCAGCCTTCGGCCCACAACAGCAACGCAACTACTCTACTCCTTTTCACCACTTTACAAGTGCCTCAAGGAGTGGGGGACTGGAGGACCCCCTCGGGAAAATCACTAAAATTACAAAATTGGTGAAAATTCCAACAAACGGCAAAGCAAGCCCTCAAGTACCGACATGTGGGTAACAGAGGGACTACCTTCGGCAGGGACATGAAAGCAACAACTCCTCACCAACTTCAGAGGTTACGACAGGACAACATCAAAGGGCAAGCACAAATTACTCCTTTTCCCTCAAGTACCTTTCGGCAAAAGGAGTGAGGGACTCCTGATGGAGTATATGGCCCGGGAACCCCCGGCCCACAGACTCCCACTACTCCAGTAAAGGCCCAACAGGCCCAGAAGGCCCAACAGGCCCAAATCATGGCACCCGGAGTACCAAGCAGCCCACAGCGCACCAGGGGTGCCTTCGACCCCCTGGCCGAAGGCTCTAAACTCTCACAGAACGGGTTTCTCAAGCAAACTAAGAAACTGGGAGAAAACGGCGAGAACAGTAGCCCTCGGCACCAGGAGCCCTCGGCACCAGGGGCCCTCGGCACCAGGGGCCCTCGGTTTGAGGAGCCCTCGGCTACTGCTCTATAGCCGAAGGCACCTCACTCGACAAGATCTCCTCTTCACGCGCGTACAGATCACCGTACCCTGTGCAACGTCCCATCCAACAGCCGCATTAAATACGGCCACATGCGTTTTCCAGCGCCAACCGGATGAGGTGACCTCTCGGCCAATGGATGCTTGGCACGTGTCCCTGTCCGGCATTTATTGCTACTATAAATAACCCCCCTTTTCCCCCGTTGTAAACCACGACATTCATGCTGAATACGCTCTCTCTTACTTACTTGTGCTCTGACTTCTCTCTAAGTTATTCTCAGCAATAACCCCTCGAATAAGTTACCCCCCGGGTGCACTATCCATCAATTTGTTATTAATAAATTAAATAAAAATCTATATGAAAAATAGCTAAAATGATAATCTACTGTAACTTCGGCTAAAACAGCCAGAAAAGTAACAACAGCCTTACTTTTTCTGCTTATTATAAACTTCAGCGCGTGAAATCAAAAATTACGTGTTTGGTGAAAAAACTGGTTGATAAGCCTGATAAGCCGAAAAAAGGGATCACCAAACGGGCTCTTAGTTGTTTATTTGAGTCTTTCATATAATTTGTTCTTGGTTGGGGTAAAATTGTTTAACTAAAGAATGAGATAGGTGTATGAAGCTAGAAATTAATGACAATAAATATATTTCATTTCTTATTAATAAGAAAATTGAAACTTTCAAATCTTAAAAATGATAGGAATATAGTAATATTTTTCAAAAATTAATTTCATAGTACATTATTAATAATAAAAATGTAATCAGAGTAAAACATGAGATGAAAATATTGTAAATTTTAAAATGTTGCAACAAAATATGAACGTCGTCAGATACTACGTTAAACGCCAAGTAATTATCACTTAATTTCCAAATAATAAAGAGTCATACTCGTCTCAATTTCATTCTCTTCTTTACTCTCTCCATTTCTTTTTCCCTACCCCACCATTTCCCCTGCTCTCTCTGTATCTCTCCGACTGGAAAAGTCCAGTCACCGGAGAGGAGCAAAATTCCTCAAAAAAAATCTTTTCAGCTGATCTGTTCTGTCTATGTACTATCATTCGTTCCGTTTTAATCTCAACATGTTGAATTTTACACTATTTACATGCTCTACTTTGATTACATTTTACGCTATTATTTTATGAAAATTATTTTTTTAAAAAAAATTGTTCAATTCATCTCATTACAAATTTTCAAAATCTGATTTTTAATTTGTTTTCCAAATAGAATTAAGATATAATTACGGTCAAAGACGTGCGTTGGCAAATGTGAAATGTTGACCATTGCAACTAAAAAAGAACGGAGGGAGTATATATGATATGTATATCCATGTATACATGTGGTTCCCCATGATTAGAAAATAAGACAAAGATTGATACTCCCTCCGTCCCATATTTAACTCCGGTTTTGACCGGGCACGGGTTTTAAGATAGTGGGATTTGTGTGCTAGAGAGTTATGCATAGGAGAGAGAAATGTGTAAGAATGGTTGTGAATCACATATTCTTTACCAAAAAGGGAAAAAGGAGATAAATTTGGGACGGACCGAAAAGGAAGGAATGAAGATAATTATGGGACGGAGGGAGTACTAGGTATATTATACTAGTAGTAGTATATACATAGTATATAAATCTAGGGTGTTGTCGGGCAAAAGGGTACAATGTGGTGAGATCTATGACTAGGAATAGTGAAATGCCTAATTCGCTCCTCTTCTTCAATCATATACCCTTTGCAAAGAAAAGCCATCGAGAATTTATTTTCCACATCCCTATCCACGTCATGCACAAACACGTCCGTGTCCCCTTCCGCCCTGTTCCGAGCAATCAGCCCGGCGGTGTAAATGGCGCCCATCCTCCCCGGCGCCTCGCTGTGGTAACCGGTAGGTGCGTCCACCATTATCAGGTCCCATTCCGTCTCGTACACTATGTCCGGCAACCCCTTCAGCGACAGCCGGCATTTCGACTCTCTTGGATCTCCGACCACCTTGCATTCCTCCTTCATCCCCGCTTCTATTAGCTTTTCCGCCTCCGTCAGCTGTTGATATCATATTATTTATAAACGTATGACTGATATGAGTATATAAGAAAATCCCCAACAAAACTTACCTAAAATGTAAAAAATAGAAGTTAATGTCTGAGTTGGGAGAATAAGAGTATTTGAGTTTGCTTCTTAAAACTCTCTTTTTTAAAGAGCAGAAACAAATATTGAAGTTTTAGATGGAAGCCCAGAAATACTTTTGGGAGCTCAAAATTGCTCCTAAAATCATTATTATAGAATTCGGAGAGACTGACTTCTCAAAAAATCAAGGGAAAAGTACGGAAAAAGTATTTGTGGTTGAGCTCGTTTTCAAATAGGGTCATGTGTTTCGTTCTTTATCAAAGTGGTTAATGTGTTTGAATTCTGTTATCACAAGAGGGTCACACCGTTGAAAACGTCTGAAAAAGACCGTTAAAAGTAACTCCAATTTTCAAAAGTGCCTGAAAAATTAAAAAAAAAATACCGAAAGGTGCGCCTCATCAAGATGACCTCCAAACCACCTTCGCCTTTAGATTTTTCAAAACTGTTTGAATTATTTTTTAAAAATGATTTTGCTAATATCAATTTTCCGATGGACTTTCGAGTGACAAGGGTGGCTGAAAACAAAAAAGAAAGATGGCCTAGCGGTCGTCTTATTGAGACGCACCTTCCGATTTTTTTCTTTTAATTTTTCGCACACTTTTGAAAATCGGAGTTACTTTTAATGGTCTTTTTCAGACGTTTTTAACGGCATGACCCTCTTATGATAGCGAAATTCAAAGACATGAACCACTTTGATAAAGAATAAAACACATGACCCTATCTGAAAACCGACTCCACCACAAGTACCTTTTCCGTACTTTTCCCAAAAGTCAATTCTATTATATTGCTTTTAAAAAAGAAACAAAAAAGGAATCAATTCCAAACATCCTCTAGTTATGGTCGAGAAAGTCACATTGTAGGGTTTGAAACTATTCTGGTTGTCAGATCTCAACCTCCACTGCCGGCCGCCGTATTCAGGGGCGGAACCAGGGGGTCAGGATGTGTGGTCATCCACCCCCCCCAAAAAAAAGTTCGAAAATATAGAGAACTAAAATACGTAGTATATTACTAGCTTTTGATTTGATATATTATTATTCATGTAACTCATTATGAGTAAGAAATTAGGATCCCTGAAAAATCAGCACTACCTACACTTGAAATGAAATACATAAATATTTCTGAAAATTTTCATCAAATTTTATTAATATTTTGGGCAAATTTTTTATACATAAATATTTGAAAGTTTTCTTCAAGTTTTATCAAAATAAAATTTATGGGATAAGTATGATTAAAGTTACTATGATCACTATAGGTCTACAATGCAGATGTGAATATAATCATTATCATTGTTTACTATTTTAATTATGTTAACGTTTTCATTAAAAAAAACCGTACATATGACTAAAACATGAATAATATGCACAAATAGATCGAAGTACCATATTTCTTCTAAAAATATGACTCATTCACGCTTAATTGGAGAAATTACATTAGGATCAAATAGGTCATACGTTTTGAATAAAGTATAAGTAATCCTATGTTTTATTTTTTTTCCATCCTTTAATTTTATTTGGAGAAATTTCTTCATTTTTATCCACTAAACTAACTCATTTTATTTAGTCATACATTTTGTAATGTTTCGTAAAGATTTATTCCATGCATTTTCTTTCTTTGTAAACACATATTTGAAAACGTGGTTGAATTTTACCTTTTCATAAAATTTCATTATGAATTTGTTGGAAATTAGAAGTGAAAATTCCTTAAATTAATTATGAGTAGAGATCAGTGAATTGCATAAATAAAATTAACATTATTTTATTTGTAAAATAGGACTTACACACTCCATAAATTTTATGCTTTAAATAGAAAGGCGTTTTAAATTATGACCAACATTATTTTGTACCCCCAATTTTGGTCATGGTTGTACAATTTCATCCTAATTTATTTTTTAGCTCTTTTATGTATAGACTATGAACCATGCATGGGCTCTACTTTTTTTTTGTCCTGCTCTTATAACTCCTATTTTTCCTTTTTGTTGATCTACTCTAGTGTTACTTATTTCGGATTATATATTCTTCTTAATATAGTTAATTTTGTCTAAATTGTTTTATACTCAAGTATATTAAACAAAAAATATAATTAACTATGTTTTTTAATATTAAAAATAAATATCAAAAAATGACTTCTTGCAGGTCGATCATGTAACGTAACTATAGTGCATACATACTTTTATTTGGACTGATTTCAATTTTATATCATATCGAATTTGATCAACTTAGACATTTGTAAAATATACTACTATTACCTTTTTACCTAGACATGTATTAAATCTTTACTAGAATAAATTAGATTAGGCTAGACAAAATTAGATTAGGCTAGACTAAATTTAAATAGATCGATATGATACTTATATTTTTTAGAATTATTTAAAACTATTACCCTTTTACCTAGCTCTAAATAGCGAGAAATGTTAATGGAAAAGGTCTTTTCTTTTCATCGATCTTATTATCCTTTTACCTTTCTTATCTCGATCTTTGAACCTCGATTTCATGTATCGATTCAGGTTAAACGATCACAAACTATTTTAGAATTAAGACTTGGATATAGTTGATTGTTGTTTTCTTATTATTTAATTCTATCCACATCATTTCAAAATGTATTGCAAAGAATGACCGACATACTTATTTTTCAAAATGATTTTATAAATATTACCAAATTAAATTCAAAAGACAAAAATATGATTTATTTTAAAACTTTCCAAAAATGAGACATATTCAGTGACTAGTTCCCAGTAACTCAACATCTCCCTCAAATAAACCATATTGATTCATGCCCAGTTACTTATACACGTGGACTAGTCAGTTTTTTGTCAAAAAAAAAAAACAAAATTAGTCATATATTTATTCGGGAAACTCGATTAGTAGTAATATGCATGTCATTTTTTCAAAAGAGAAACAAGATAAGATAAAAATAAGATAATATAAAGTTAAGATAGAGATAAAAATGATTAGATAAAAATAATAAGAGAATAATAAAATTATGTCTAAAAAGAACGAATTTGAATATATTAGGCATTTAAATAAAAGATATGTATTGATAACATCCCACCTGCTCATGGTTCTAAAAATTGGCCTAGCTAGGTGCGCCTTGGCACTGCCTAGTCGTTAGGCGGTGGCCAGACACCCCGATTTTGCTTATTATTGGTGGAGAAAATTGTTTGGCTGCCTTGGCGGGCTAGTTGGTTAGGCGATCTGGGCTAAATGTTTTCCTAACCCAACTTATGTTTTCCATTTTGTCTTAAAACATCATTTGATCAAAAAGTATTCTATTTCTATATAATTTATCTTCATATTCCTAGGACAAGAAAATAATATTTAACATTTTCATATTCTAAAAATCTTTTTAGGATGCATTTTCACATTTTTAGAGACTAAAAAACATAAATATCTTAATTTATTTATCAATTATTTCATTATTGATGACTTTACTATAAAAGCTACGGAGTATAACATTAAATGATTATATGAGCTATTTCTATTATCAAAACAATTATAAAATTATCAGTAATATAAATAATATTCAAAGTAATAAACAAAGAAATAAAGGGAAAATACCTACACGCCCAATAACTGACTAGAGCATAACCACCTTTTAAGATGTTTTTAATTTTAATTGGATTTAAATTTTCAAATCTAGTTTGATCTGGTTTGGACTGAACTGGTCTGGTTTATCTGATACATGTCTAATCTTTGCGTAATTTATAATTGTCCAAGTCTGATCTGATCTTGTCTATGACTGAAAATAGTTCAAATAAAAACACCCTACGTGTACGTTAGGTGATTAAAAAATGTTCTAAAAAGTTGTAGAAAAAATTTAGTAAAAAAATGGAAAAGGATAATTTTGTCTTAGATGATACTCCCTTCGTCCCATTGGACTTTGCCAACTTTCATTTTTTGGTTGTCCCAAAAAACTTTGTCACTTTCCTATCAAAGCAACTAATTTGTGGTTATGCACATTTTGTCTCTCCTCTGCACAAATCTCAACCACACAGTTTTTACTATTCTTACTTCTCACCTACTTTGCACTTGGCAAAGTCCACCGGGACGGAGGTAGTATTAGATGATAGTTATGTTGACAAATTTTAAGGTGTGCAAATCAACTCCCTAACACAATTAAATAAATTTTACTTTTGAATAAAACTTATTTTACTTTTGAATAAAACTTATTACCTCTGTTCCACTCAAATTTGTCAAGTTAATATTTAGTGGCAATTAGAATAATAAAACTATGTGATTTAGGGGGTGTTTGGAACTGATTCTGATTCTGCTTCTTTTTTAAAGCAGAAACAGAATCAGAATCAGTTTTCAGAAGCTGATCACCTCCAGCTTCTAAAAAAACTGATTCTAGGAGTAAATTAGAGCACCAGAATCACTTCTGCCCTTTTACCCAAACACTCCAACTTCTGCTTTTGCTCCCTGAAAAGGCAGAAGCAGTTTTAGGAATCAAATCCAAAAACCCCATTAGATTAGTACGGAAGAAAGAAAAATGAGTTAAATCAAAAAATTTATACGAAAAGTGATAAAATTTATTGAGACATAAAAAAAGAAGTTGACAAAATTCGGTTGATGGATGAAGTAATTAGTGGGCACTTCGTCTGTGTTCGATAAGATTTCTTCACATGTGAATCTGTGACGTGTTCATAAAATGTCAATCGACATATCTCACCAAAATAAATTAAAGTTTATTGCATGTTTTTCCCTCAGAAATTGCCGGCCTTTAATGCAGATTTTACTCCGTTTGGATAGCACTCCGTACTTTATTAAAAGCGTTTTGGAAATACTTGCATTTCAATAAAGTTCACTTGCACATACTCCGTATATTAATAAAGTGAAAAACTAGGAGCCCTCAGGGATGGGGTGCAAAAAAAAAAGTGAAAAATGTGTTGTTTAAATTTTTGCAGATGAGAGAAGAATAATTTTTAATCACATATTTGTTACATTAAATAGGAATGAAAATGTTTTTTGAGATGATCAAAAAAGAAATTTGGTCAAACTTTATGGGAAAGAGGAAATATGATTTTTGTTTATGAAATACTAACGGTACTCCGTACAATTTTTGTTTACTACTCCCTCCGTCTCTGAAAATACTTCCAACTTTCCTTTTTTGTTCGTCCAAAAAAGAACTTCACTTTCCCTTTTTGGCAAAGAATTTGTGGTTCAAAGCAATTCTTACACATTTTTCTCTCCTCTGCACAACTCACCATCACACAAAACTAACTTTCTTAATCTGTGTGCCATTTGTACTACGGAAGTAAATTTAGGGATGGAGGTAGTAATTTTGAAAAAAAAAACTTTTTAGACTTTTGATAGTAGAAAGAAGACTTATTCGTATTTTGAATTTTAATAGTCTGTTACTGAAGCCCATTCGAACTAAATTCAAATAATCAACAATTTAAAATTCGTATTAAATTATTACATCATCTTACAAATTAGTCATTCACTTCTCATTTAATTTTAATAATAGTACGGAGTATGTGTTTTCTGTAAGAATAGTTTATACGAAGAATTCGGAAATTGATAAAAATAAGGGAAGGCATAACTTTTGAAAGAAAATAAAAGTAATCCTAACTTTTCAATAAATGCTTCTAATATTTTCAAAAAGGTACCAAAAAATGACTTAGTAATTGTCGACCAGTTTCGGAAAAATCGCTAGATTAACCATTGAGAAATATCATAAAAAAGGGTTTTTTTATAAGAATATTAGTAAAATAACATATTTACATAAATATGACTATACATAAATGTGGTGTTGTGGCAACTTAAGCTCAAAACTTGAACATGAATTACTATGATTTCATTACTACTCTAGTCATTAGTCATATTTTTGTAAATCATCTTTATTTTGGTTATATTTATGTAATTATTTCTAAAAAAACAAAAGGGTGTTTGAAAAATTGCGTTCCACAAAAAAATGACCGTATTTTAGAAATTTATGTTTGCTTTTGGCACAACATTTTAGTAGTTCAATTAATAGAATAACAAATGTGTTACATGTCCTTTGACTCTTGGAGTAATTAATGTTATCCACTCAAATGTAAAAAGTAAGTGAGTAGTGAAAGATATTTAAGACATTTATTGTAGAAGGAGTTGCCTAAAAAGATAACTAAATGAATAAATGAAACGTACCTTAGTGTCATAGACGACATGATACGACTCGAGGAAAGGAAACCGGAGATTTGTCTCGTCCATCCATGAGCTGTCCTCCTCCAGGAACACCGTCCGGCCGCCGTGGTTGAGGGCGGTCCACATCAGCGAGTCGTGGCCCAACCCGAAGACCAAGAAGTTGCACGGCGACTTCCTCTGCAGAACCCTCATGGACACAGAGATCTCCTTCAGCGACTGCTGAGGTGTGACGTTGTTGGCGACGTAGTGGACCAGCGCGTTCGCCAGCGAAGCTGGAATCTTGCCGCATCCCCCGCGGGCACAAGATTCTGCCGGTTCTTGATTTCCCGGCGACTGTTGCGGCTTTTTCGCCGGAGTAACTTGTTTTGATAATGTGAGTAATGATGGAGGGAAGCTTGACCTTGGGATGAGGAACATCAGGAAAATGAAGAAAAAGCAGATGAGGATGAACTTGAAGTTCGGATTAATGGTGAACTGGGTGTTCGACCTCATTTTAAAATAATGATAATGATAATTATAATTGTAGTTATTGCTGCAATTTAAAATTCAATGTTTGATGGAATGAATAATAATAATGAAATGAAGAGATACGAGGAATAGGTGGGAGTGTGATGGAGGACTTTATAGACTATTAAAGAGATCGAGAGATCGTTTGGTAACCCTATTTTTCGTCTAATCAGATTTATCAATCAACTTTTTCACCAAACACGTAATTTTAGTTTACACGCATTAAATTGTGTAATAATAACAAAAAATAAGGTTGAAGTTACTTTTCTGACTGTATTGGTTGGAGTTACTAGATGACCATATATTTTTGCTATTTTTACATATAACTTTTTCTTTGTTTTATTAATAAAATGTATATTAAAAATATTTTTTCTTAAAACAGCAGAATTAGTCAATGCAATCAGTTAAACCAGAACTTTGATAAATTTCAGCAGAATCAACCGTATCAGTCGATTTTCGTGTTACCAAACGGGTTCCAAAAAGCGCAAATCATATTCCATTGGGTAGGTAATTACCAAAAAGTCACAACGATGGCACAAAAATTATATGAAAAAGAATTAAAGTGACTTTATAATATACCTTCAAGGCTTCAACCAATTTATTCATAAAAAATATTTGATTTTTATTATTATATTATTAAGCGTGTGAAATTATAACCTATGTATTGTATTAAAAATTAATTGATAAAATAGATAAAACGAAAAACAGTATCACCAAAATTCAATTAAGTCTTATTTAACAATTTACTTAATTAAGTCTGTCCCACAAACAATTTTGTTATCGTATGCCGTTTCTGTTTATAGTTTCGAATTAATTAGACACAAAGTACGTGCAGTTGTGGAAATATTGTTATTATTATTACTCCGGATAACGGAGTACTATTTTAAGCGGACTCGTCACCAAAAAGAAAGTTACACATTTAATTCACTTTTGGCCGGATTTGGTTATGGATGCATAAATGCATTTAATATTTCATCAAATGCAGATTTGGAATAAAATTGAGCCTAAAAAGAGGTAGGTAGGGTGAAAACAGGAACAAGATAATCAATTATGTAGCTAATCATGAAAAGCAATTTCGCATTTGGTTTGGTGAGCAGTGAAGAGCATCCCGCCACCATAATTTTGGGGCCACGTTAACGGCGTGACGTATGCGCGTACGTAACTCACCTTGTAGGAATTGGATGTCACAAGAGTGAAACTACGAGTTCAACATCAAGCAACGACTTTCTTTCGGAGTATAATAAATTGAGTGGCCAATTCTGGAAGCCGGATAGATAGGGTGTCATTCTTTTTTGTGATTCATATCTATTTTTATTTAATAGCTTGTCTTATCTATATTCCATGGAGGGAGTTTGAGCTGAGTTAACGCCAGGCGTCCCTCAGCCCCTTCTCCTGACCCACTGGGATAAAAAGAAGAAAACGACTTAGAACCCGTTTGGTAGCATGAAAATCGGCTGATTTGACTGATTCTGTTGAAATTTATAAAGTTCTGGTTGAAGTGGCTGCATTGGCTGATTCTGCTGATTTAAGAAAAAATATTTTTAAAATATATTTTATTAATAAATTAAAGAAAAAATTATATGTAAAAATAGCTAAAATAGTCGTCTACAGTAACTCCAACCTTACTTTTTCTGCTTATTACACAATTCAGCGCACGAAAGCAAAAGTTACGTGTTTGGTGAAAAAGTTGGCTAATAAGCCTGATAAAGAAAAAAAATCTCAGGTGCAGCAACTTAAGATCTCGAGTGACCATGTACAAAGAAAGATTTCGGTTGATCTAAATCTTCACTGATCCGAAATATAGGATTTCGCTAGTGCGAAATTCAGATAACTTGGATCACCTGAAATTGAAGATTTCGGATGCACGAGAATTAGAAACCTGATTTGACTGAGATATTCCTTCCGTAGTTTTCCTTAAAGCAACAACCTTCTAAAAGCAGTAAGTTTCCAAGAACAGATCTAACAATTAATTCAACCAAAAATTGTGTTTTTGATCAAATTAATTCCAGAAAAATTCAAGGATTCTTATGAACAGAATTGCGTCGTGGCTCTCATACCAATTTTGTGAATTTATGCTCAGATTCAACAGTCAAATAATCTAAGAATAATTGAAGAATTAAAAATTTTAAGTAGTGATTACGTTTGATCATAGAGTCAAATGAAGAAGATGATTATTAATGGAAGTTTTATAAAAACAAAAACAAAGTATTTTGTTTAAATACACGAACAAGTAACATCACGTGAGAATAAATCAAACGGTGAATATTGTTTCCACCTAAACATGCGCAACAAGCATTAAATGGAATGATCGGCCAATGCAACTGTCAACATAGAAGAAGACATAAATGTCCTCTAACATCCCTTATTTGATCGCAGATGACTACTTATTTTGGAGGACTGAGATGTGTTCTCACGTTCTCACGTTAAGACTCGTTCTCATTTGAATCAAAATATATGTGTGTCTATATATATATATATATATATATATATATATATATATATATATATATATATAATAGATCAGGTGAGAAGCCCCCCTTAAAATGAGAAGTGAGAAGTATTCTCAGCCCTTGGATTTGAATCTAATCTTACAACGACGCAGTAAACTTATAGACTGAATATAGGAACTTATAATCAAAAATCATAACTTATAAAGCTTTCCATCATAATTACAGAAATGCCATCGCATCAAATTTTTTTTGAAGGTTTCTGGAGTTATTTTTTGCAGTGGCATTTTTGTTATTATTTTCGAGGAAGTCTATAAGTTATGATTTATTAGTTAAAAGTTCGTGTTTTTAGTCTATAAGTTAAACTTCACAGTTCTCAGCCTAAGGGCACATCTCACCTGATGAGTCCGAACACGCTACAACTCCACCCTGGCTCAAGTTCTGTTGTTCAGCCTAGCCTGAATGTGGCTTCCTTTCGCGGGTTAGGATCATAGCTACGCCTAGTGACTATTGTTAATTATTAATCCTGATTAATGGGTTGATCACGTTGATGGGCTTTACTTCAATTCGATCTTGGGGTATTGCTGTGATCCATGGTACCACCCAGGGGCGGATCTAGGTATGGGCCAGGGAGGGCCTGGGCCCATGCTCAAACAAATATTAGTATATTTATATGTATTTTAATATATTTAGTGTTGTGTAAAAATGGTATAATTATAATAACAATCAAAAGGTTAACAAAAACTAAAATGGTGGGATGGTAGACCATAAGCATGCGGATGTAGTAGCCTGATTGTCTTGAGTTCTACAATTTTGCAATGGAGAGCATGTGTTTAAAATTTTCAACTCATTGGGCTTGGAGGTGAAAATTAGTTCAATACTTATTGGCTTGAGGTGTTTATGTAATTGATTTTGACAAAAAATCTTATTCTCATAATATTTATTTTTGTCTTTGACATTTATGTTGTAAAATATGTTATTTTACACATGAAAATAAGTTTTATTAAATATACACTACATCTGTTCTTAAGTAAATGCAACAGTCCACTTGTCACATTTGTTGATTCGTAATATACTCTGTATATTATTCTCTATTAGTAAAAAAATAAAAAAATAAGGTTTTGAAAATTTACAATTAGACAAGTTTAACAATATTTTAAAAAAAGTTATTAATTCATTAAAAAATAAAGTGTAATCAAAATAGAATATATGATTAGTGTAAAATTCAACATGTTGCATTTATTTAAGAACATAAGTAATTACTTAAAGGAATACTATTTTTTGACATTTTTTCGCAACATGTGTTATTGAATTTAATTTGGCCCCCGCTGAACGCCAATGCTAGATCCGCCCCTGGTACCACCACGGCTACTCCCCTTAACTAAATAGGGTAATTGTCCTATATAATAAAGATACCATATACTACCTCCGTCTCGGTGGACTTTGACAAGTGCAAACTGTAGACCTGTACAAAAACGGGTTCGGGTCGTGCTCAGACCGGGCTTTTTATAAATTTGTTGCCCATCATGTGTGGGCGGGCCCGGCCCGGTCCGCAAAAACGGGCCTAACCCTATGTCCATACCCGCCCATAAGAGCGGGCCGGGTAGTCCATCGGGCCGCCCGGCCCGGGAATACTTTAATTTTTTCAAAATTATATGATTTTTTAAATACTTTAAAAGTAATATTACAACATTTAGAAAATAATTAATATGCTTATAATGTTTATACGTCTTTCACCACATACAAAAAAATACTTACACAAAAATAATAATGAGAAACTATATCTAAACTTTTAAATTGAAGCACAAAGTATTATCTTTAATTACATAAACAGATATTATATTGGTTGGGCTAGTCGTTAAGAACTAAAAATTTAAATTTAAACATAATAAACTATAAATATGTATAAAGAAAAATTAGTAAATATAAATATACATGTGTATATGCAAATAAATAAATAAATTAGTGTATATATATATATAGCGGGCCGGGCTTATCGGCCCGAACGGGCCTACACCCTAACCCAAGCCCGCCCATATATATATGCCCAAATCCGCCCATTTGTGCGGGTGGGCTGGGCGGGCCGGACAGGCCGACCCAGTTTTGTCCAGGTCTAGTGCAAAGTAGGTGAGAAAAAAGAAAAGTAAAAATGTGTGATTGATATTTGTGCATAGGAGAAAAAAATAGGTAGAACTACAAATTAGTGGATTCAATTGGAAAGTGACAAATTTTTCTGGGACAACTACAAAAGAAAAGTTGGCAAAGTCAGATGAAATGGAGGGAGTATACATTGACTTATTGATATTACAAAGCAATGACGAATCGAGATAAAATGGTTATTGAATTGAATTGGGAGCATAATATTTTAAACTCAAGTGCGTTATGAAAAATATTTTATTTATAAATTTGCCATAATATTTGATATTAATTATTTTAGTTGATCTTTAACAAAAAAAACAAATAACCTGACTCTTCTAATTTGAGTTATGAGTTATACATTACGTCAAATATTACTTTATTGATTTATACTCGGGTACCAGCTAATTATTTACTAATTAAATCATTAACTAAACTATACTCTCTCCGTCCCATTGGAATTTGCCAACTTTCTCTTTTTGTTTATCCCAAAAA